GTGAGTCTGCATACAAAACAGCATAAAAAATTAATTATCTGCTCAAAATGCAGTATACTTGTGACTTTTTTTTTTTTAAACTAAAAACCAAACCCACAAGGGAAATGGTCAAGAGTGTGTTTGTGCCATGCTACTTAAAGCCAGCAGAAATGAGAACCGTGACTCAAACTTCAAGCTCAGGAAAATTGTCTTAAAAGATAAATAAACCCAAAAACAAAAACGTCATCTATTGCAGCTTACCAGTTGTTAGATGTGACAGCTGCTTTAGTTTTGTTTTTTTGTCTAAGAACATTTTCTAAGTACAGAAACTTCCTGTTGACCTTGCCAGAAATGATGGATCACTTCCTGTGTGCTTCACAGAAAGCACAAAAGATTCTCATCTTTCTTCAGTATACTACTAATCCAATCAATGTCAAGTCTGGGTGACAATCAAGGCTCCTTCTATAGATAGAGGAGGGAGCATAATCACCCAGGGGCAGGGAGTTATTCACAGGATTACGAAGGGGAAATAAAAGGATAAAATGAGTGAAAAAATAGGATTTTTGTACTCACCGTAAAATCCTTATCTCTCCATTCATTGAAGGACACAGGGCAACAGATCATAGATCCTGTATGGTAGCGTATATTGCCACCTGCAGGAGTAGGACGCTAGGCACATAACAAAAGACAAAGCCAGCCCCTGCTGGTGGCCAAACCCCCCACCTGCTGACAAGTCTCCAGTAAGTAACAAGCAGTTAGGAGTACACACCCAATATAGAGGGTGGGACCTGTGTCCTTCAATGAACGGAGAGAAAAGGATTTTACGGCGAGTACAAAAATCCTATTTTTTCTCCCGTTCATTGAAGGACACAGGCAACAGATCGCAGATCTGTATGATAGGGACGTCACCAAGCAGTACACACTGAGGGATGGGCAAAAACAACCAAACACCCAAAAGAGCCGCCTGCAACTTTGCGCCCCAAACCAGCATCTGCCGATGCCAAAACATCCACCTTGTAAAACTTAACGGTGTTAAGTTTTACAGCCTTACAAGAACTGAGAAACAGAGGCCCCATGACGGAAGGCCCAGGATACCCCAACAGCCCTAGTAGAATGGGCAGTTACAGGGAAAGAAGGCCCACGCCACATAAGGGTGCACGCCGGAATAACAACAGTACTATCCACCGAGAGACGGCAGCCGCCCTCCGTGAGCATGCACAAAGAGGGCCCTCAGTGAGCACGCACAAAGACTCGCGGAAAGAAGCTGTAGCTTCCATATAAAACACGAAGAGCGGGGACACGAGGATGACGATGGCGCCTTTGGCCGCGATCAGTTGCAGCAGCCGAAGGAACAGGTACAGCGGAGGAAAGGCCCAAAGCAGACCGTAAGGTCCCCAGGGAGCCACCAGGGCAACCACCGCCCCCGCCCAGGGAACCAAAGCCCGGGCCACCAACCACTCCACTGGCCGGTGGAGCCGAGTCGCCAAAGGCCCACCTACGGCGTCCCCCAGCCAGACAAAGCTGAAGATCTACGGGTGTAGGGACCACTCTCCCGGATCCAACGACTGGCGGCTGAGAAAGCCGGCCAGCCCTATTCCACCCCTGGGATGTATACAGCAGAGAGCCAGAAGCTGGCTCCCCGCCCACGAGAGAACCCAAACACCATGCAGCCCGCGGCCACGCGTTTTGTGCCGCCCTGGAGGTTGATGCACGCCACCGCGGTGGCGTTGTCCGACAGGACCCGAACAACCCCGAAGACGGGTTGACCAGTGCAGGACAACCCTGCACAGTCAAGGAGCCCTGGACTCCACCCCAGCCCCAAGGCTGGCGTCCGTGGTGACTTCCGTTCAGTGCACAGGAAGGAAAGACTCCACCCGCACCAAAACCGGAGATTGAAGCCGCCACCACCGCAGGAAGGCTCTCCCCTACCGAATCTCCCTGTCCAGGGATGAGGGGGGGGGGGGCTTGTCCCACTGTACCCGGATGCCCCACTGCAGAATCCCGGCGTGGCGTCATGCAAAGGACACCGCCCCGAAGGAGCCCACCACGAGACCCAGGACCAGCATGGAAAAGCGAACCGGTGACCACTGGCGAGCCCGCAACGGACGGACCCAGGAACAGAGCTTCTGGAGTTTGTCCCGAGGGAGAGAAACCCCGGGCCGCAACAGTGACACGAACCAGGCCCAGATATTCCAGGCGCGGAGAAAGCAGCCGACCAGACTTCTGGAGGTTCAGGATCCATCCAAACTCACCCAAGGACTGCATAGCGACCTCTAGAGCCACCACCAGAGAATAGTGCGACACTGCCCGCAGAAGAACAACCAGATAGCCCACTATCGAGAACCCCCGTCAATGCAACCGCTAGAATCAGGGCAAGCACCTGGGTGAAAACCCAAGGGGCCGACGCCAGGCCGAAAGGTAGCGTCACAAACTGAAAATGCCCCTCCCCCAGCGCAAAACGAAGATATCGCCGATGAGACACGTAAATGGACACAAGAAGGTAGGCATCCTGCAGATGCCCTTGACGAAATCACGTCACCATGGACCCGATCAACTCCATCTGAAACCGACGGACCCGTACAAACGTTTGAAGTCCAGGATGGGCCGAACCCCCTCTATCTTGGGCACAGCAAACAGGTAGAACCCAGTTCCTGAACCCAAATGTAGGAGACGTGAGCCAAGCAAAAAAACTGCCTCAGCATACCTATCGGCGGGGTCCGTAAAGGACGGAGAGTCTGCCACCGGGATAACCGTAGCCATGAGCAAGTGGAAGACTGGAGGGTCCACCACATGCAGAGAGGACCTTTAGACAAAAAAAGCCACCTCAAAAGAGATAGCGAACAGAGCAACGCCTATGAACCGCAAAAGACGTAGCAGGCCGCCTCCACTCCTTATCAATGAAGTCATCAAAAGAAGGAGAGGTAGGGAAACACCCTGAAGGAAGACCTACTCTTATGGGTCCCAAAGAGCACCGGCGTCAGCACGGAAGAACCGGGAACATCCTCAATGTTAATGGCCTCCCTGACAGCGCGAACTAGCGCAGAGACCAATTTCCGTTCCCAAGAGCGCAGACACCGACCCATCCTCACTGCCTGAATCCGGCAGCAAGAAACCACCAGGATCCGGACTAAGCAACGCAGCGGGAAGTTCCCCCTCCCTCCTCGAGGGCAGGAGAATGACAGCTGCAAGGCACGCTTTTAAGCAGGCCTCTGCGTCAAGGCACGTTTGTTACGTGCCACAAAACCAGCCCTAGTTGGAGGAACCTCAAGACCTCCAGGGACAGTACAGTACCCGCGGTACCGACACCCCCCCGAGGCCCCAGAGGGATGCACACACGACCGGCAAAGAAGCGCAAGTGCACAGGTCGCACACAGAGGGGACCCAAAGGAAGCCGCCAAACGCAGCCCACCGCCCATGGTAACGCAGAAGGCTCAGCCTTGTGTTCCATGAGCCGCCGACCTAGCACACTAGATCCACATACATACCCCAGCCGGGGACATCCATGGAAATCACAGCCAGGACGAGTAGGGAAGCGACAATTAGAACGCCCTCGACCGTAGTCGCGGCGCCGTCAGCCTGTGAGGAGCGCTGTGACATGAAGGCCAGGACCCCCTGTCATATGCACTCCTCGGGACGAACCCATAGGCGTTGAGAGGAACCACATGCCGCAGCAGATCCACCAGGTCTGCATGCGCTCGTTGGTCACGCAGGGAAGACTACAAGGATCTACAGTCATCAAGCCTGTCGCCCTGGTGACACTTACTAGAAGAAACAGCGAACAAAAATGGAGGAAAAGAAAAAAATTCTCCAGAGAAATTTTTTTAGCTCCTTACTCCTGACGCTAGGCAGAAAACGGGAGACTTGTCAGCAGGTGAGGGGTTTTGGCCACCAGCAGGGGCCACCCCTAGGCTGGCTTTGTCTTTTGTTATGTGCCTAGTGTCCTACTCCTGCAGGTGGCGATATACCCTACCATGCAGGATCTACGATCTGTTGCCCTGTATCCTTCAATGAACGGGAGAGAAAAGAATACTAATGCAGGCACCTCATCTAAAGCAGTGTTCCCCAACCCCCGGTCCGGTACGCGGATCAAATGGTACCGGGCCGCACAGTCTCAGTGCGGTCCGGTCCTGCAATATGGGGCAGTGCAGGGTCCCGGTGTTCGAACAGCGGGGCCCCGCACTGCCGACGGGCTTCACAGTGAGGGGGCGGGTCCTGTGACTCCCCTCCCCTCCGCGTCCATAGTAACAGGAGGCGGGAGGGGAGGTGAGTCACAGGAGGCGTGTGTGTCACACGTCCCGCCCCCTGCAGTGAACACATCAAAACTCCCTGGCTGGGTAAGTCCGAGCGCCAGCGAATAGTAGTTTTTTTTTATTAATTAAGTGTCTCGTTTAGGAACCTATAAGTGATGTATCAGTTTAGTTACACTTTAACTGGACATACCTCCATTTAAACACACTGCACAAGGGTGTGCCTTGGATAATAAACCATCTAAAGTGTCTAGTGTTTCTACATAATAAAAAACAGCTGTAAAATAACCGATACTGGTTGCATTATTTATGACATGAATCTGTATTTAAAAACCCTAAAATTTTTAAAAGAGAACAGAACAAATAACAGGAAGTAGCTTCCACCCATCAGTAGAGGACACTGCTGCAACAAAGGGACACAGGCTACACATTTGGGATGCATTAACAGTCTGTTTTCCAACTGTGGTAAGAACTAGCTTTCACTGCATGACAGGAAGCTAACCAGGGAGGTCACAACTGCACTACTAATGCAGTAAAATATATAATCTGAATGATACATAAAATGGTGTTCAATCCACTCACCACAGAAAACTGATAAAAAGATGCACAGATAATCATTTTAAATGATTGCATCTAACTTGTATAAATATCTGTTAACTGCTGACATCACAGACCACACACAAAAAAAAAAAATACACAGCACTGCATTATTTGTAGTTAAAATGCATGCTCGATAAGCATTCACAGCCATATTACAGGTTCTTGTCGACTTACAAATGTTCCTCTAGGCCTGCTGAGTCCTAGAAAACCTGCATATTCTTTGGGCTCCAAAGGATCTTTGAACTCTTCATCCCTGGTTTCCTTCTTACTATCCTTATCTGATAGAGGAGAGGGCTCATTTTCCTTTCTCTTTTTGCTGCAACAGAAAAGGAAACACACATACAAAAGCTAATCTTAAAAGTGAAAAAACATACGTAAACCTACATAAATATAAAAACAAGCAGACACGCAAATACAATTCACATCCTTCACTTTCACAATCCTTTGTGCTCCAATATTTACTAGACCTAACTGCCCTGAGTGAATCCAAATGAGGTATGCTTCTATAAATACAAGAAAAATTGAACACGTTATGTAAGAGGCCAGTGCACACATGACAGAGAACTGATGCTGCAATATATGAACTGTACATTAAATCGTGCAATTACTTCTATTCTTTGAGTCACCCATTTTAATCTACAATTTGTACAGACTGTTTTCCAACTGATTTACTGTAGCATGTTTCCCAGAGAGTAATTTCTGAATTATACGACATGTAATGTGAAGGCTGAAAACACACAGCTCTTCATCTTTTTTTTTTTGCCAAAATGAGAAATCTTTAAAATCAGACTGTAAATTGGCTACACAAGCCTTAATGTTTCCAAAAATTTTGTGCTTACAGGCAACTTGTGATGTACTGTCAATAAGTGCTTATGCAGCAAAAAATTACTTTTTTGTTGTACTTGCCGTAAAATTAGTTTCTTGAAAATTGAGGGGCAATGGATTCAAAGAAAACTGGGTTATAATGCCACTACATGAAGATTTTAACAGTTGCCAACATAAAAAAAAAAAGACAGTGACCAGCCTTGTATAGATCCTCCCATTCACAGAATGCCTCAGTATTGTAGAAAAGCAATACCAGACGTAAGATCATATACACGGAGGCATGGGACCTGGGTCCCTCAATGAGCTCCAAGAAAGGATTTAAATAGCAAGTTCAAAAATCACTAATCCCCCCAAAAAATAAAAAATTATAAATTAGATCTCGTAGAGTGCATGACAGGGGCAAAAAAAAGGGAAAAAGATGTCAAGACATAAAAAAAAAAAAACAGGCATAGTGGGAGGGGTTATATCAGGTTGGTCACTGTTTCAGCGTTCAAAGCCTCCTGAGACAGTAGTATAACCCAGTTTTCTTTGAATCCTGTGTCCCTCAATGAACATGAAGGGGTTTAAGGACTAGGGAAACTCCTCTGAGTCCACTACATCAACAGGCTGGTTGTCTTGCATACTCTTATGCCGGGAAACCATAGGCAATTGCTCCTTGGACAGTTGGGGCTGTCCCGGAAGCCCCCCTCCATAGGTACCCCAGGTCCACTGACCCTCTGCTGTACCATGTTGGGGGGAAGCCCCTGCTCACTAGCACGTAGGCCTAGGAAAAAAATAACAAACGTTACGATGTCCTGCTCGGCCGGAGGAAACACAAAATAACTGAAGCGTGCTAGGCTTGTGCTCCTTTTTATTTTAAGTGTGGGTGATGTGTTTCCTGTTCCGGTGGGAGGAGCCTATCTCTCTAATGCTGTCCTGGAAGGTGACTAGAGAAAATTAAATTACTTTTTCTAGCTGCATTGAAAAAGTACCTAAATTGGTATCAGCTTGGGAGGGGCAGGACTAAGGGTCAATTATGTGCCGAGAAGGACCATACTGACATAAGGAAAGAATTAAAGTGAGCACAAAGATGCAGGTGAAACTCGAATAATTAGAACATCGTGCAAAGTTCATTTTTTTCACTAAGGCAACTTAAAAGGTGAAACTAATATATGAGATAGACTCATTACATGCAAAGCAAGATAGTTCAAGCCGTGATTTGTCATAATTGTGATGATTATGGCTTACAGCTCATGAAAGCACCAAGAACCCCAAATCCACAACCTCAAAAAAGTAGATTATTACATGCAATCAATAAAACAAGGATTGTACATAGAACAATGTCGGACCTCTGAAAAGTACAAGCATGCATATGTACTCAGTACTTGGTTTGGGCCCCTTTTGCAGCACTTACTGCAATTACTTTTGCACGATATTCTAATTATTCGAGTTTCACCTGTATATTGTGTTCAGCTCCTCCATTGTTTAATTAGCCAGCACGGGGAAGGAGAGAAAAGGAGACCAAGCTGTATTGCTTTACTGTAGCAGAAAAGGAAACGGAAAAAAAGGAGGGTCCCATGCATCCAAATGATGGACAGATGGCAGCCATGATGTAATCAGTTGCCTACAAGGGTACACCTAATGGACAGAGGTAATGAAACCCGTATGGTTAGACAAATCTTTGGGGGCAAGTAACTGATGCACACTTCATTGGCACCACCATTGAATTTTACATTAATTTGTACAGTATAACCAAAGTAAAAATACTGCACATTACTACTTACTTTAATAATCTTACCTTGCTAAGAGCTGAGTATCGTAAAAGGGAACCTGTCAGGAACACAGTACTCAAGTTGCAATGGCAGGCATGTCTTTTAAAAAGGTGCAGGTTTTGGGGCTGCCATCCTAAATCACTTTTACTACTAAGTTTCTGTCCCGGAATATGCATATGTATATAAATTATCTCAACACCTGATTTAACTTTATGACCTAGTTCCCAAAACACAATTTTAGGTGCAAACACAAGTCACAATAGGAAACACCACAGAATATAACATAACCTGGCTTTCTGTATTCTATGCAAGTCCCCATTTTCTATAGGTAGCAGAATATACAACTTATTTTTTCCAGGCACTGATCACAAAACACTTAGTTCTATAACCTCTGTGTTCCCTTTTTCAAATGCACGTGTATTTCTTCTCTTGAATATATTGTAGTTAGAAACATTAACAATTAGTTATTTGCACTGTGGTGTCATGAGTGGAAAAAGTGCGGAATCAAGCATAACGAGTTCTTACATAAAGGAGTTCTAGAAATGCACAGCATTGAAGTCCAACTTCCTGATGTAGCCTGGACAATAGGACACAATAATTTGTCATTTTTTTTTCAGTTAGCTTGCTATTCCAAAGTTTTTGTCCTCATCCACCATTAGTCGTGTAAAAGACAAATACAATTTTGCTGCAAAACAAACAATTGCGGTGGTTGGCGTTAAAAAAAAAAATATCTCTTTTAGAATAGGAAAGTAAAGCATTCACAGTTTTTGTTATGAAAGAGACAGCCTACCTCTCTTCCTTGAAGATCTTAGATTCTTTTAAGTCTTTATGTGCCTTTTCTCGCTTGCGAGAATCACTCGAATCCCGAGAGCATTTTGATTCCCCTCGTTCTTTACTGTGCTCCTTCTTGCGATCACTCCTCACATCAGTGGAGTTATCATGTCTCTTTACCTTTTTTTCTACCTGTAAATATTGCGAGGGCTTAAGTGAACCTGCAAGTTACATTGGCTTTACATAAAGGTATGGAGGGGTAGATAAATGGCATAGCTCATTGTTACTAACAGCGCTCAATTTGCTGAAAAGCAATCCTAGAGTTTGAAAAGTTGATGAAAAAATTGTACCTTTCGCTTGTTCATTCGGTAAAGTCAGAGTGTCAGTTAAAGAAAAGTATGTAACATACAAAATTACTTATCAAATTTATCAAACATGCAACAATGGAACGCAGTGCTAAGGCCGTCTAAGGTGCTACTGTAACATCCCTAGGATTAGTGTTCATTGTTTGTCTTACATTTTTGGAGGAAATGTTGAATGCAGTGTTTGAATTGTAAGTTGGATCTTATACAGCAGCATACATCTACATACAGATTAAAAATAAATCTATATATTTTTTTTATTTACCTCTCTACCTACAATACCAAAAGAAATAAGATCGCAAGTGGGTGTGGGTCATACAGGACTGAAAGCATGCTGCAAGATTGGTGATTCAGGGACAAGGGAAGTGGAACAAGTGGTAAAATAAAACATCTATTTAGGCATTATTTTAGGAGTACTTTTTACTTGTATTGATTGGCCTTACAATAATTTATAGCGCACATCTGGTGAATGACATACTACAATAATATAAATCATATTACCTAATGTTTAACCCCTTCATGACTGAGGCCCTTTTTTCATTTTTTGCACCCATGTTATATTCCACATTTTAGGCCTGAAAATGACTTAAAACCCCCCAACATTATATATTTTCTGAATGCCAAGACCCTATAGAATAAACGATGCCCATTGTTTGTGGCCGTGCAGCACAATCTCTATTATGGCCGTACATTGAATTTAAAATGTGAATTCTGGTCTACTTGTCTTTCTAAATGGACAGACTGATGGTTATTAAAAATGCAGAAATGTATACCTTTACATGATCTTCCTTTACAACCAAGATCTGATCTTCATTCTTAACACATGACTGTCTTCTCTGGACCTTAGGAGACAAATCTATTTTCCTGCAGTAACAAGCAGATACATAAAAAGGGAAATGCACATTAAAACAAACATTTGTCCACAACATACTCAGGGCTCCTCTAGCAGATTGACATTAAAGAGAATACTTTTAAGTTTTGGCAGAATGAGGCAGGGTTTCACTTCCCGCCAAGCCTTTACATCTGCCCTGTGGTTCAACCTGGGAGATCTACCTCCACCCCCGGGAAAACAGTTTTGCCACGGAACATAGATTACAAGTGCTAAACAATGGGAATAGAGTGCTTTAAATTTACATGTTCTTGTTACCATCAATGGGTGCGTCCATTCTAAAAGGGTTAAACTCAATTCCTACATCTCCTGGTGACTTGAATGGTAACATTATATTCTTAAGCTCCTAGATTCTCCAGTTACTGGACTGGATCTTTCATTTTCTTAATTTGCAAAACGCAACATTAGGTTTGGAAGCAACTCAGATACAGCAGTAGAAGACTCCTCCCAAGTTAGGAAATATGTCAAAGAAACGTGGACCCTAAGAGACATCAGCAGTCAAAAGCTGACTCTGCCCAGCAGACTACAACAAAAGCAGACCTACCCTTTAAACAATTTTTCTTTCAACAAGCAAAATGGTGTACATGTTTATTTGTTATGACATTTTCTACAGTCAACAAAAAATGGGGAAAACTGCAATCAGCATCAAGGTGTTTTGTGACCAACACTTTTGCCTTGGCGCGCTGAGTTCCTGGGCACTATCAGCAAAGGGTTTGTATTTTCTCCCTGCATTATGTGGGATTTCTCCAGGTGCTTTCATTAGTTGTCATTTGTTATCCAAGTTCAAGCCTAACCTTCCTAGTGTGTGTGTTCCCTGATATTTCCCAGAGCCCCCAGCAGTAAAGCTAAAACATAGATATATTTAATACAAAATAAAAATCTAAAAAAACTAATTTAACAAGGTTAGAAAGAAAAAATGTTTTTTTAGGCCTGACTTTTTTGATGCACCTCTAATTTCAAATTGTGGCTGGTGTTCAACCCGAACCGTGTGCGTGTTAGCACCACTGGGTTGTGAGCTGCCTCAATGCAGGGACTAGTGTGAATAGATTAAAAGATTTATCTACATTGTTATAAAAAATGCAAGAAGTACATAAACATTTCAAGATGTGGCCGGGGTACCATTT